TGAAATTTACGCGATAGGATCTATCGACGACTTGGGATGAACGTTGCAGGTGCGCTGTAGTGAAAGCAAAGACTCGAACAAAACGATTTTTAACAAACAAGAAAAACTAAAACGAAACTTAAGAGAAACTGGCACAGGACACTCTAAACTTTCCGCCCAGAAAAATTTGTTTTCTTTCACATATTTTGTTCAGAATTTTCTGCGTTTCCCCTACAAAGACTTGAACTTTACTAAAGGGCCTCTAACCTAATGGACCCCATCTAAATATTGAGAAAAAATTCCTAACTAACTTTCGAAATGCTAGAACAATCAAATCACATTTCTTGCTAAACCAACGATTGCTTTAGTGGGGGAGGGCGCAGGATAAGATCGGATGAGGAGAGATCGGCAATAGTGGGAGGGTGGGGAGAGGGAAGAAGAGGTAACAGCAAACGAGGACGAGTAAATAAAATCAATTGCATATCATCTTACGTAGCAAGCATAAATCAAGTATGTATAACTACAAGAAAGAACAAAAGCAAATTCAATTGTAACTAAACACAAAAAACAGCAGAAACCAACTACAATTAATGACAAAACAATGTAAAGCTTAAGTGCTAACAACAATATATAGTTAAATACGAAACAATTTATAAGCAAGCTTTTTACATAACAATTTTCAAATGCTTTTTTAAAGAGTTCGTTCAACCTTGTTTAAACCAATTTAAATATATATATATATATATACGGATAAAATCTTCATATTTTACCAAAGTTGTCCTTACTAATTTAACAAGTTATGTTAACCACTTCACACACAATTTATTTAACAAAAAACAGAAGAGACCCTCGAGTAAATCATCTAATTTTAAATGTTTTTTAAAGTTTAGTTTAAGGTTAATGTGACTAGAAATACCAAAGGCATATTTGACAAAAAAAAACAATTGTTAAGAGAAAATATAAAAAAAGAAGCAAAACGATTTATTAATTGGTAAAGTTGTAACCTTTTCAACACATTTTTCTTTTAATATTTACCTATTTAATTTTCTGTCTAACTTTAGTCGAATGTAAAATGCATATTCCGTCCAATTACATTTCTTGCTTTCCTCTTGCCCAAAAATATCATCTCTTCGCCAGCGTCGCGTTGGATAGCATCATCATTCGAAGTTAAGAACAGAGGTCTACTTATAAGTCTGCAATCCTAACACACACACACGCACACGATCGCCACAAGGACAAGTAAATTAGTTAAAGTTGTAGTGTATAAGCAAGAAAATGTTTAATTATAAATAATATACTAATGCATATCATAAAATTGCGCCTTTCAAAACAATTTAAAAAAACAAATAAGAAGCCCGATGACGGAAAACAAAAAATATTTACAACTACAAATAAGCATTAATAACGAAACCAGAATTAATAGAAGCTATCAAATATTTTCGAAATTAATTTTTAGCGCCTAAGAGTGGTTAAAGAGCCCAAAGGTTTGCAACAAAAGCAATGAAAATACGCATAAGTGTCTAGGTGTGCATGTGTGTGTGTGTGTGTACATTTGGGAAAATCTTGTGCAATTTTTATTCACCACAGAAAGCAAGTTTGATAGGTCCCCACCCCAAAAAACCATTTCGAGGCTTGATTTCCAGACATTCTTTAATCTAAATTTAATAGCTATATACATACAGATTTAACAAATCTGCAGAAAGCTAGTATTGAACTAGGTCTTGGGATAAACTGAACAACAACAGATAAAGCTAAAGAGGAAAACCTAGCTCGTAAACGATAAACTAGAGAAAGCTAAAATGAATGAACGACAGAAAACCTAAACTAAACATTATGAATTATGGGAACATTATATAAATATATATACACACATATATTAAAACATTTTTGAAACAAATGAAAACTAAATAACAATTACAAAGAAAGTAAAAATAACAAATACATATCAGCAAACGGATAAAGAACAAAATGAGAAGAAACTTTTACAAGAAAAATTATTAAGAAAAAATAAAACCGATATGTTTTGATGTGGTTTTTAAATTTTTAAACATTGTAAGCGTAAAAAGGCAGAATAGCAGTTACCAAAAAAGGGGGAAAAAGCATAACTGAATGGAAGCTTAGTTATAAATTATGGAACTACTTACATAAATGCTAGCTATATGCTTACATAGTAATGGCATATCTACATATGTGGCAGCAGTAATAGAAAGACATTAAAACTAACAGTAATAATAAAGCAGTAACAGTATATATTATATTGTATTGTATTTATTGTGTTTGCTTTAATTTGCGTGTCGAACAAAATTTTCATTGCGTTCTTGATTCTATGTTTAATTTAAGTTAACTTCCAAATTGCCTTATGTTTGCCTAAAAAACTATATTAAAAACAATTCAATACTAATTTCTAAGTAATTTATATATACACGTATTGTATACCTCTCTTATACATAAACCCCATATATAAATATACTTATATCATTTGTGTAGCCTTAACTTAGAACTTTTCAATTGACGGTATTAATTATGCATAATAAAACTTTATATTTTGTTCGTTAAACAAAATAATTTTTGTTTTATTCAAACTCATACAAGCGCGATGAACCCTTTGAAAAACGAATTTTAAATTAGTGAAAATTTTTGCAAAAAAATTAAAACTAACTATACAATTACATATACATATTATGCTACAAACAAGAATCTCTCCCCACTTAAAGTTTTGAGTCATTTGCGGGAGAGCCAACTAGAAAAGCATTATACTCAACCACAACTGGCTATGGACAGAGCAGATAAATTCGCTGTACATTTGTAATACATAACGTACTATGCATATCTATATACAGACATATATATGTATAGTTTCTGTAGAAAGTTAAGTAGGAAAGGAAACTGATATTGAATATTGAAAATATCATGGCAGAGGTAAAACAAAAGAAGCAGAAAAGGGAAGATAACACAAGTCAAAACATATCAAACTCGTGCCCGAATAAAACTATATATACACATTTATATACACTATATATAAATGAAAAGCAGCCACAAATTATGCGCAGCAATTCTCAACGGTATAGAAACAAGAAAATTATGAAAAATAATTAAAAAGAAAACCGAAAGTCTAACGGGAAATTGCAATTTTTATTTGCATAACTCAAAGTTGGGTCTACTTTTATCCGTAAAAAATACGAAAATAATGATTAATATTAATTAACATATTAAAAATACACAGATGGAAAATATTTGTCTATTTTGAGGCTCATTTTTCATATTTCATTTTCGTAAAACAAAAATACGACTTTCTTTTAAAAATCTTTTGCTAATATTGTAAAAAACAAATTGATTTTTCAAAGCAAATGAAAAATAAAACATATAGCTAAATATTATTATAAAAGTTACATAAAACAGAAACAAAACTCGTATATATATAAATATAAATATCAGCCTTGTTCTTTATATATATATTTAAAAAACCAAAAAAAGGAAAAAACCATACAAAATATTAATAAATTATTGACTACTATAAAAAAATGGAAACAAAAACATAAAAAATATTTAGCGAAAATATTGTATTGTGAGTTTAAATGTATTGTTGCATACGAAACCAAAGAAAAGACATAACAAATCGGTACAGTTAAGTTAAATGTAAAACTAAATGGCAATACCAACCGATTGGCAGTGCAAATGAATGACAAAACCGAACAGATCAGAGGCAAACCGAACAGACAGAAAGGTGAACCATTTTTCACAGACAGCAACCAGCGATAAGAACTAAACGAAATTAAATTCAATTTAAAATGCCGAACAGATTATTTCAATTCAATAATAATAGAAGGGCAAACCCGCAACACAAATTATACAATTTGATAATGATAATATTTTCAAGCGATCAAGATCGAGGGAAGCACAAACGATATACCCTGCAGCTAAAGGGAAGCAGAAGAAGAAAACGCAGTTTGCAACAGGCGACAAATTATAATAATAATAATACAAATAATAAATAAAAACTTTAACAATTGTTTTGTGTAATTGTAAAGAAATGGAATTTGTTGTGCCACACGATGGGCTGGGCTTTGACTTGGCAGTGGTTTGTATTATGCGGTATATCGAAGGTGGGTAGATAAAAAAAGTTACAGAAGACAATTAAGCAGATTTTTTGAGACTTAATCCTTAATATTTGAATGTCTGCAAGAAAAGTTATGACCCTAAGACCGCAGGTTTTTGGTCACTTTTTTGAAAAGCCATCCTTAAGGAAATTTAAAAATTACAAAAAATCGCTCCGAAATTACAAAACAATTTTAAGATGCATGTTTTTAGAGACTAAAGCCACAAGACTTTAAAGATACACCACTTCGGAATCTGATGTCTGTAAGAAAAGTTATGCAATTAGAACTCCAGGTTTTTGGTCAATTTTTTGAAGACTGGTTTTTAAGAAATTTAGGAGAAAAAATGTTATGACCTTAGAACTTTAGGGGTTACATCATAAAAACTACAATTCATTAACCCAAAATTACAAACCAAGATTTAAACGCAGTTTTTAAGAGAGCTAAGCCATAAGATTCTAAAAATATACCATAAGTCTTAAATCAAAGAGCAAAGAAACACAAAATAAATCTAAATTATAAATTATATACTATATATAAATTATTTATTTTATTATTTTCCTTAAATTTGTAGCCCAATAACTTAAAATATATAAAACGAAATAGGGTGTTTTACAAAGTCGGTGTAGCTGCCGTTTTAGATGCTTTGCTTATCGCTCAGCTATGTGTTCGACTGATCTTCGGCAATAAGTTGCTAACCCATCAGATCGCAAACAATGTGTTGATAAGCTCAGTAAAAAAATCCCAAAACGGGTCATTTGTTTATAAGTCCAGCTCAATGATAAAACAGGCAAATAGCAAGAGAACCCAGTTTTTATTTGTTTTAACCTCTCTACCTGAATCAGAGCTGTGAGCAGACTGACAAAGATATCTCTCTCCGGTTGCGACACCCTGTACGAGGGCAGCTGTTGATTAGGTTGGATTCATTATCTCCCACTTAGTTGTTTTCCGACCGAGCAACTTAAAGGTTGCACAAATGAGATCTCTGTGTTTTGTGTTGCTGCTTGTTTGGTTCTCATGCCAAAGCGAAGTTAATGCAAAGGTGTCCTGCAAAGATGAATCAGGCAACGATGTTGATTGGTAAGAATTTCGATTATAACCTATTAGGGAATTAGCAAAAAAAAACTTGTTATTTGATCAGTTTTTTTATATAATTGATGTACTAATATTATTTGCTTAATTTCAATTTTTGTTTTTGTTTACCATAATAGATATACATTTTTCATTCCTTAATACGCTTTTTAAAAATTAATTTATATTTGTGAACTATTTTCGAAGATTTTTTTTATTAAATTAAATGTAGTGCTGAAGTTATATAATCAACGCTTACTTGGAATTTAATTGCATTTAAGAACTCAACGTGTCTTTTTTTTAATCAGTAGACATTTTGTTATCAGGTCAATATTTCTAAAATCTTTAAGTTTGTCGACACAGGCTGTGAGGCATTCAATGAAACCTCTGTTAACGCAAATTACGCATTTACTTTGGTTTTCTTATTGTTTTTCTCTTTTAATTTGACTTATACCTTTAGGTGGCATCTGTACAAGCTGCCCAAGCACTACCAGCACAACGATTTGGGCAAGGACACCAGTGGCTTGAAGTATCTGTACGTGACCAGCCAGAACTACGACACCTGGCAGATGTCGGGGAAGTTCATCAGTGATCCCCTGTCCCTGCCCGCCCAGACCCTTAACCCGCTAAACGCGGATCCCACTCACACCCTGCTGGCCGCCTACAACGACCAGCTGCCGAATGGCACTGTCTTCAGCACCGGAGGACATGCCAAGGGAGTGGTGGCCAGTGATGGGGACACCGCCATTTGGCTGGTCCACTCGGTGCCCAAGTATCCCACCGTGCCCGACTACACCTACCCCACCTCCGGTGAGCAGTACGCCCAGAGCATGCTCTGCATCACGTTGAAGGCGGAGGACCTGGAAAAGGTGGGTCAGGTGCTGGTCTACAACGAGCCGCACTTCTACTACGAGCGAAATCCGCTGGTCAGTCGGTCGGAGGAGCTGTTTCCGAGCCTGGAGAGGGCTCTGCACGGCCAGTGGCGCACCGAGTCGCCCTTCCAGAAGGACGTCGAGCTGCGCAGCCTGGATGGCAAGAAGTTCCGGCTGTTCGGCAAGAGTGGACGGGCCAATGTGGAGTTGTATGCCGACGTGGTGGCCCCCGCCCTGGACGTCAGCCTCTTCGTGGAGGCGTGGCGCGACGGTGCCGGCAATTTGCCCAACAGCTGCGAGAAGTCCGACAAGGTGCTCAACGTGGAGTCCATCTCCAATCTGGAGCTCTCGGTAGACTTCAGGACCACCCAGGATCACTCCAAGTGGGCGGTTTCGCGCCCCACTGGCATCTTGATCTACCACTGGCGTGTCGGCGGTGGCGACTGGATTTGCGTGGGCGACATCAACCGACAGCAGGGTCAGTTGCTCAGGGGCGGCGGAACGGTGTGCCACAAGAGCTCGAGGGTGTCCAACCTGTATCGCCAGATGGTCGGTAATTACGACAAGTGCCACGAGGAGTAATTTTCCTGATTTCCCAAAAAAACGTTTTGTTTATATGCGCTGACAAAAATAAAGCAGTTTCAATTATTTTCATTGGGCCAAAAACTTAAATGTTTAAGTTCAGCGGAAATTTTACGAACTAAAAAACTTAACTAAAAACCATCGCGAAGACATCTTATCAACGCCACCTATCTTTTAAGTTCCATACTCGTCCTTTACGATATACACCAGCAGATAGTGGAGACTTGTTTCAGTTTGGACAACAACCGAAATGATCATAAAATGCTGGCGCGCCTTTCCTCTACTCACTTTATGGCGGAAATTTTAGAAACTAGTTTAGTATAAAAACGCCAAGATATTTTACAGCGCCACCTGTCTTTCAAGTTCCATACTAGACTCTTACGATGCAGCCCTGAAAATAGTGGAGACACCCTCCACTGTTATCTTAGTGTTAGAGATGGAAAAACATCGATGATGCCCATCAAACATCGATATTACTGATGTTTTGAAAAATCGACGACATCGATGTCCCTCCACCTCTACGTAAAATCTAAATTAAATAAGTTTTAAACAATAATAGTGGAAATACAACGCAATTTTTGGGATGTTCTGCTGCCTACGCACCTGTCTTAATGGCGGACACATAAGGAAACCAACGGCAGCGGCCAGTCGCCTTCGGGAGCCCGATGTTCACCTAGATGCAGCACATATGGGTAAAATAAAATATGTTTAAATTTTCTAATCAAATCCATTTGGAATCAAAACATACTTCCATACCAACTGCAATTTAATTGGACGTGACTTCTGGAGCACCCCCGAATGTAAATAAAAGACTTGGAGCACTTTGTCAGATCTATATATGTATATGTCATGAAGAGATATTATATATTTACGAGTTTGCTAATATTTTGTATGTCTTTTACAAGCATTATTAAATTTCCCATACTTATCTAAACTTGGCCAAACTTTACTTGAAGTCTGATTTGATTATGATTATCAAGATATCCGCATATGGAACATATTTGTTAAATCTAGATATGATACTGATAAGATACTTTAATGTACTTATTTCACAAACTATATAAGATTGCATGTTAGAAACTCCTTCCCAAGTCTAAAAACAATAAGATATTAAGGAGTGCTATAGAGTTATCTTTCAATCGAACTTCAATTTAAAAATTTAGTTCAAATTTTACTAAAAAAGATTTCTCTGCAAGATGGCTAAATACTGCATTATTTATTTATTTTGCTACTTAACTAAGACCCAATTATATATTCACATTATATTTAAAATATTAAAAAAATGTCAACAGTGTCTTTTGGGAAGTATGCTAGATGGCAGTCTGTAATATAAGTGTAGATACCTTAACATTGGCTCATTTACGTCGTGATTTTTAATTGCTTCTAACCGTTATCTATTCCAGGACCCGATGTGATCCTGCTGTCGCATCAGCTGCGGGTAACTGGCACCGGAGGCGTCCTGGCCACAGCTCCTTTGGTCCAGTCGAAGTCCTACTTCGAGGTGAAGATCCAGCAGGGAGGCAGTTGGTCCGTGGGACTGGCCACCCGCCAAACGGATCTCAGCCGCAAGAGCGGCGGTGGGGATCGCGAGTCCTGGTGCCTGTGCTCCGACAATGCCACGCGCCACAACGACCAGGAGGAGTTCCGACCGGTGGTGCAGGCTGCTTGCACCACCCAACCCTCGAGGTCGGCCAATGGGATTCTGAACAATAGTGCTGCCAAGGCGGCCGGACTCATTGCCATCGAGGATCTGCAGCAGGAGGATCTGCTGATGACCACCGGGGTGGCCCCATCCGATGTTGGCATCGGTGATTCATTGGTCATCTCACCGCAGCGTGATTTTCCCGATGAGGGTGACATCGTGGGCGTGGCCTTTGACCATGTGGAACTGAATTTCTATTTCAATGGAAAGAACCTGGAGGTTCCCTTCCGAAATGTGCGAGGAGCAGCATTGTTTCCTGTTATTTATGGTGAGTTTCTCTCCGCTTTTATTAAACAAATCTAAAATGATTATTTTCAGTGGGCAATGGTGCCATTCTGGACATTATTCTGGACAACTTCTCGCATGGTCCACCGCCCGGATTTGAGCGTATTCTGCTAGAGCAGTCGTTACTGTAGATAGTCCATACAAAAGCCTTGAACAAATTAGCAGCTTGAGAACAAAACATTGAGGAGATAAGAAATAGACAGTGCGTTTTAGGACTATAAACCAGAATTTTATTCCAAAAACATAAGGTTAGTTAACCACAGGGGGCAATGTCTAGAAACCTACTTTATTTATATGCATTTTTGTGTAAAGCTGTTTTTCTCAAGATAATTTTTAAAAATATTTGCATTCAATTTAAATTGGGTCAACTCGCTAAATTATTTATGTTAATTAAAAAAATACGAAATATGGTTTTTATAAAAAGTTGAATACGCATTTATAATTTAAATTGTGAAAAACCATATTTTTCTGTCTTATAGTTGTAAAATGCACTGTTTTACTCATATAGACATCAAGTGTATAAACTCTGTAACCTCTCTAGTCCTTGCACTCCCCAAACCGAAATGTATTTGCTTTATTTTTATTAGTATTTTGTAAATTATTGACGTAGCTTAGTCTCGCGCCTGCGTTTGTATTATACACAGACAGATGTATCTGTATAGAGATACAGAAGAACTTTTTTGTAGATCGCCAACTTCTTACACATTCCAATTTACAACGGCAAGGTACTCGAGCACGGAATTACCTAACTTACTATAAGACTATATCTGTATATCCTAACAAACTATATCTACATGTATCTAATGCTTTGAAAACTGATTAATCCGCGCGCGGACAATAAATCAATGTTATGTACTTAAAAACGATTGTAATGGAAAGTTTTCCTAGTTCAGACTGTCAAGAAAAGAATTTGGTTTGATTATAATTCGGAAAAATAATTCCCCAAAGAAAGGAAATTAATGGTTGAAATTAAGATATGACATATGTCCGGAAAGGGGGAGATCATCCAGATCCACATCGGTCAGGCCGGTGTGCAGATAGCCAATGCCTGTTGGGAGCTCTTCTGCCTGGAGCACGGCATTTTGGCCAACGGAAGACTTACACAGACGCCGCTCGATGACTCGTTTCTGACCTTCTTTGAGTTTACCGGCAGTCAACCATGTGTCCAGCCTCGACTTGTCATGATCGACACGGAGCCCACTGTTATAGGTACGTATCTGCTATACCTGTAAAGCAATAACAATTCTTGGTGTCCATTTTTCTAGACGAAATCCGTTCGGGTGCCTACCGCAATCTCTTCCATCCGGACACTTTGATCTCGGGCAAGGACGATAGTGGCAGTAACTTTGCACGGGGCTACAATCTGATGGCCAGTGAACTGTTGGATCGGTCGATGAACGCCATTCGTCGTGTGGCCGATCGCTGCCGGAATCTCAGGGGCTTTCTAGTCTTCCGGGCAATAGGCGGAGGATCTGGTTCCGGTCTGGGCACCCGCATCATGGAGAGACTCGTAGACGACTTTGGCAAAAAGATGACCGTTGTGGAGTTCCTGGTCTATCCCTCGCCTTCGTGAGTTGGGTACTGTTTATTATATTCTATTCGATCGTTTTTATAGCCAATATATAATTTGATAACTTTTGATACAAAATGGGGAAATAATAGTATGGCTACATTTAAACTCAACTGATGGCAATAGCTTTACAGAAACGAAATAACACAGTTCTAAATACATTTTATGATCGCTTATGTTTTATAAGTATTTGATGTTATTTAATGTATTCTTAGAGTTAATCTTTATATTTTTGGATCCTACTTAAATGTATTTATCTGCTTCCCAGGATCTCCCCGGTTATTGTGGAGCCCTATAACGCCCTGCTGGCTGCCCATTTCTCCATGGACTGTACCGATGTCTCGTTCATTGTGGACAACGAGGCGCTGTACGACATATGTGCAAATACGCTTAATGTGCCCGCACCCACATACACGAATCTGAACAGAATCATCGCCCAGGTGGTTTCCGGCTTTACAGCCTCACAGCGATTTGGCGGTGGATCGACCGCGAGTTTCCAGGAGCTGCAGACGAACCTGGTGCCATATCCGCGCATCCACTATCCGCTGATCAACTACGCACCCTTGGTGCCCATTGCGCACTCGCAGTTTGTCAACATGTCGACGGCCCAGCTCACGGGTCAGTGTTTCCAGATGAGCAACCAAATGGTGCGATGCAATCCCTCGCACGGGAAGTATATGGCCAGTGTTCTCCTCTACCGCGGCGACATAGCCCCCAATGAGATCAATACGGCGCTGGAGAACATCAAGCGGAACAAATCGTTCAGATTTGTCGACTGGTCGCCCACGGGCTTCAAAATCGGAGTGAGCCCCGTGCCGCCGTGCTATGTTCCTGGCGGAGATATAGCGCCCAGCAATCGCGCCTGCGTGGCCATCTCGAACAACACGAACATCCGGATCGCCTGGTGCCGCCTGGTCAACAAGTTCGACAAGATGTACCAGCGGCGGGCCTTCGTGTTCCACTATGTGGGCGAGGGGCTGGAAGAGGGCAACTTTAACGAGGCCTCCGAGAATATCTGCCAGCTGGTGCACGATTACCTGGAGGTGGATGCATCGGCTCCCGCATCGCGGCGCGACTCCGATCCGGAAGAGTAGTGGAGGTCCTTTCAAGGGCTGTTCCCCTCTTACCTTCTTTATCCTCTCTGTTTTCTTTTGAACCAAAAAATATATTAAATTCGGTGTGTAATATTTAAAATGTTTCTGTCTTCCTTTTGGAAGATTTTCTCGTATTAGCTATACAATTGAAGTCTCGATGGATTTACTCAGTACATTTTGTGACAGTGCCGAATCCGTGCGTTTTTATTTACTTGTATATAGCATTTTTCACCTATTGATGCAAATCATATAATATAATATAGAATTGCTAAAAAAAAGTATCATCCAAAAATGTCTAACAAATTTTAATTTTTACATTAATTATAACGTTCTAACCACTCAACTTTGAATCTTTAACTTAGAACTAACTATGCACATTATTTGATTTCGTTTCTTTTTCGAAGCTTTCTTTTAAATGATTTTTTATTTAGCATTTCTATCCTGTCGTTGCTTTTTATATTTAATAATATTTAATTGCTGAGGAAGGTACACCCACAATAAATTAATAAGCATTACATTTTTAAGTTTTAAATAATGCACCTTGTCTTAGAGTATTTTCAGATGCGGTCTTAAAAACCACCGAACCGTTTCCTTTTACTTCTCCCCTTTTTTGAGGCTTTCGTCAGCTTGAAACCGTTGGCCAAATTAAGTATTTATGGTTGGCTAAAACAAACATTGACCCAGCCTGCAATTTGCGTTGCTTGACCCCAGCCCCGAAAAGGTAAAAGAGAGGGGCTATATCGGGCCGATGGGCGTGGCCAATCCCTGCCGATATGGGGTATAATTAAAATGATCGCAGCCCGAGGGTTTAGCACGTACCGAGGCAAAAGTCGCGCTTATCGCGATCGCACCCAGGGCAAGGTCTTCCCGATCCGGCATCAGCGGATCATCTTCATTTGGGTTTCGGGATGGAGTCCCCTGGTCCCCTCTTTACCCCTCTTAACCCCTTGGTGGCCACTCCGATTTGTGTGTGACGTGACTTACGCACGCTTAATGCGCGATTATCGATGAAGGGATCTTGGCCAGCACGCAGACCGCTTACTTGGCCATCTTATCAGCGAGCTGGCTGACTTTTGGTGTGGTCCTTTCGCAGGATGACCGCTGTTATTAAAGGCATTATCATTATGAGATCCCGGTGCCTTTCCGCCAATTCCTTTGTGTGTTAACTGTTGCTAATCTTAAATTGAAGTCGAGCCTTTTGCTTTTGTTTCGCAGCGTGAGAACCGCTGCGTGTGGCTTTTGGCCGAAGCTTTCCTTCTTTTTTCAGCGGGTGTTAATGAGCTAAGGGAAATGCCAGAGGACCACCTTGAGTTGAAAGTTTGTAGAAATTAAGTGGTTATTCCGATCGACATGGGCTAATAAAGCAATTTTCCCCGATTGCCAAGAGGAATGGGCAGCACTCGGAAGGGGTAGAAATAAAAAGGCAACAAGGATGGCAGGGAATGACGACCCCTGTGCCACAACATTTGAAATATCTAGTTAACTCTGAGGCCGCTCTGACCTCCTTTATTTATGCACTAATCCGTGGGAAATGCTCGTCGAGACACCTGGGGCCGATTTATGCCACAAACGAAACGAACAAAAGGAACAACAACCATTGCAGGCCCGCACCCGCAACAAAAGAGACAGCTTTAAAATAAGTGCTTTAAAAGTCGATTAACAAATGCTCTTTATTGTAATAATTCTAGATTTAATTCCACTGAATTAAATAATTTAGTTCTGGGATAAAATGGACTAACACAATTTATTGGGCACAATAAAGCTAATGAAAAATGATAATGTAATGCAAGTAGACAATACTTGTAATATATTATAATAGATTAGCCAAAAATATAATTAACACATTTCTAAAAGATCATTTTTATGTTCAAAAAACACAAACCAACTGGGCTTAAATCACAAGTTGGTTTGTCTTTTCTTCATATGTAGAAAATAAGATAAGTCTTACAAACCATATAATGTTGGCTGTTGGTATCCTATTCCGCATAACCAAGATAACCATCAAAACAAACAATGTGTAGTCGCAAACAGGGATCAAATTATAACAAAAATGACCCTTAATAAAAGTATAGCCCACTAAAATAGAGTATCGCAAAGAGGTAAAAATATTAAACAACCGTCGAGTGAATTAATAAAGCGCCTAGCGAGGCGGCCACGCATTAAACGACACACACCACAGAAAACATTGCAGCGAGTCCAGGCAGGCCAAAAGGCAGGAAGAGCTCTATTCCGAGGACCCATGCCACATGTGTACGAATTCGAATAGATGCCACATGACTGACCACTCCAATGCACTGCACTCCACTTTTGTTGTTGCCCGTTTTTTTGTAGCCGAGGGCAAACATTTTGGAATTGCAATTTTCGACTTCATTTCCAGGCTTTGAACGGCTTGCTTTCTGTTGGTTTCTTTTCAGCATTTTGCAGCGGGAGCGGTGAGGTGAGGAAACTTTGAGATCGAGCCACAAGGCAACACCTACCAAAGGCACCAAGCCACCAAATGGGCAAACCAACACAACAGCCCGCTGAGCCAACGGTGGGCGGTTAAAACCGAGGCAGGGTGTATAAGAAGGGGTCTGTAAACTCTAAAAAACTCCGTCCTAAATTAGTAACATACTAAATGATCACTTATATCTTTGTTAGCTGTGCTACATTTATTTTAAAAACTTTTTTAAAATAACTCAAACAGTACGAGCTTGTTTTATTAAGGTAGAAAATTTGGGCTTAACGTAAAAGAATAAATATTATAATAAATCCGATTATATAAATAATGGTTAAATGGGTCCCTAAACAACATTCCAATGATAAAAATAAAGCTCTGCTTTCTAGATAAGTAAAATTCGGCTCGATTTACCTAAATGAAAATACTCTAAACTCCAGGATGTGTTCCATCTGTTATCAGAATGATTTTCTCTAAGTGTATGCCACGCAGCAAGTGTTTCGATTTATGTTTTTGCGCCTCGGCCGCCACAGCTAGCTACATGCCACATGCTCTGGCCGACTCGGCTGCGGCATTTTCATTCAAAATGTTTAACCAGCCCCGCCGCAAGACCACTTGTTGCTCTTTTATTCATTCAATTTGTCAGTTTTGCACTAGCACAAAACGAAACCCAGTCCAGGCCGAGATCCCTTCGCCCCGTTGGCCGCCGGATGGAGTCAAAAGGTTATCGCCACACTTGCCGCATTTATACGGCCTCATCTT